TTTTTTTTTTTTTTTTTTTAAATAACGAATATATATTAGTTATGTCATACACATAACGAAAACATAATCGTTATATAAAAATAGTTGAAAGTCACGGCCGCGACAAGTATAGCGGACGCGACACTGGGACATGTGCAATGGACAGAGATTATGGCCCCAGTGTCGCGGCCGCGACACTGGTCACTAACGCGACAATTTTGGTGTTGTACACCATATATGGTCTAGTGTGTAAATGTGCTCTAAATCATATATTTTCAAAAGCAACAGTTTTGATTCAAACGGTACATATATGTATATGTATCAAGTAATAACACTCTACAACTAATAACACTAAATCATGTTTTATATTAATGTAATTAAGTTAATCACGTTTAAATATGTTGTACACCGTATATAACACTAAATCACGTTTTAACAATATTTTTCCACCGCAAATTACATGACCAATCCCAATGTCATGCTGCCTTTTCTCTTCATTTTTTTCATTGAGCATTTATTTGTTTCACAACAACTGTTGCTTGAGGTGTTTAAAACACTATATTATCATACAAAGAATTTAGAATAATTATTAAAATTAAAATTAAAAAAAAAATTGGTGAGTAAGACTTGGGAAACACACTAGTCACCGGTAATTAGAAAACAACCATAAGATTTGTTTATGGTTATTAAAAACGATTTGTTTAGAAAACAAATTTTTTATATAACTTATAGTGTATAAAATTTATTTAAAAAAGAAACGTACATCGAAATGTGCACTAAATCATGTTTTATATTAATGTAATTAAGTTAATCACGTTTAAATATGTTGTACACCATATATGGTCTAGTGTGTAAATGTGCACTAAATCATATATTTTCTTAATTTCTTATTCTGACAAGCATTTGGGATGTTATGAGGGAGATTTACTTTTCTTGATAATGTAATGGATTTCAAGTTTATTTTTCAGACAAGCATTGGTACTATGGATACTTCATTAACCATTTCAATGAGCTATATATATGATGAGTTGTGACAACTCAAGACAGGTCTTTAAGCTTTTCTGCATAATACTGGAATGGACTTGTGACAACG